CTAGACAATAGGCGGTGGGTCAAAAAAGACCCGAAGACCGCGCTAGGGTTAATCAAACGATAATAGTATACAAAAGTCGAAAAGAATTCATTTCTACCCCTAATAGAAGAATTCCAAGTGAGAGAAAACTTTAGCCGTTAGTCTCCGAATCAGAAGGAACGTAAACTTCTAAATGGAAAGTGTGATCAATTTGTATTTACAAAATACTAAGCTGAACTTATGCTTTATTCATTCAAGACCAACCAATCATCGAAGAAAACAAACGCCGCCTGTCTTCAGCACCGTCCAAAACACTGCACTAGTTAGTTAACATCATCGCTCATTACCCGTCCAATCTTTGATCCAATGAAACCTCTCTCTAATCTTCACTCACCACGATCAAAGTATACACTTCCTCGCTACAAAGTCGTATCACAGACCCTTCGTCGTAGACAGTGAATAATTACACCGAGTCCCCTCCTTATCGTGTTTCTCATTCCACAATAATCGTATCAATTATTCAAACAATCCCTCCTCTTTGTTTACGATTATACCTCTGGCCTTTCAAACGCACCCCTGGCTTCGAGTTGCGAGTACCAAGGGCCGTGTACCTTCAATCTTACAGCAATTTCAGAGGGACTCGACCGTCTGGCCGGTGAAAATCATGCTCGAAGCGAAGAAACCTGGCCCAGGGTGACATTTACAAATGACGTTAGGCCGTATTAACGCTCTGTCCGCGTCGAGACAAAACGTCTCCGCGCCGCTTTGCAACGGAGTCGTCGTCACCGTCCTCGTAAATTAGTTCCAAGTTAATCGGTGACGGCGTAGGGTTGCGAAGCGCCCAGCCTCTTCTGGAAATATGGCCGTGCGAAAAGAGATAATTTGCATTTTAATTGCGCCAGTCTGCGCCACCTCCCGTCTCATCCACCCTTCGCCCATCCTGCTCGACGTTCACAGTGCACCCTTGCAACCTGCGTTTCCACGCCGAAACCTTTGTTCCAACGGGCCATTGTTGGCCCCGAACTTTTGCCTCTTTACTTTCGAACCGGCGAAACCGTAAGGCTTGCGAACGGTGATCGCGTTCGCTCCTTCGGTATCTTTCATCCTGGTGATTTGCTCTTTGTATCGGGTAATGGGATTAAACTCGAAGTCCTTCGGTGATTTGTTGTTTTATGTGGGTTGCAAGAGTTTCCGGATGTTCGGTGGGGTTTCTTCTGTCTTTCGCGTGGTGTTTCTGCGGGTCAATTGCGGTAATTAAGTTCTCTCGCTGTGAGTAATGTATTGTGTTTTGGATTTCTGGGAGTGTGAATTATTTTGAGCAATGTGTTTCTTGGTGTTCTTTGGTATTGTGAGGATTTTTAATATTTATTCTTGAGATGTGTTTGCACGTGTTAAGTGTGTTTTCGACCAATTCTGAAGGTTGGTAATGAGGAATTGTTTTGAGCGATAGACTAAGTTATTTTTAATTGGGGCAATTAAGATCATTAAGTTCTGTAGCTGTGAGCAATGTGTTTTGGATGTTTCGGAGTGTGAATTATTTTGAGCGGTGTTTTTGGAGGAAATTTCTTAGAGTTAGATATAACAAGTATTGTTAATATTATTTTCGAGTATTTCCAAAATCTGTACGTTCGAACAGTATATTTAAAACGAACCCCAAAACTCGACAATAAAGAATTCTTTCCAATCAAGTTACTTTCTATCATAGATGATTTTTCAAATAATTAACACTTCACTATTCAGTCCCGTTCAGAAAAATTTCAAGTTGCCTAATATTTCGAACGCGATACATATTCGAATTACCAGAATCTTACAGTAACTCTTCAAACCGTCAAATCTCAAATCAATCCCTCCAAACCTGCACAGACATAAATCCACGTCACCAATACGAGCACGAACTTGGTTGAAAATCTCGTTTATTGAAAAAAAGCGAAAAAAAATCAAAGCGTATTTCTCTTCGAGAAATTATCTCTGGCCGCGGTTGTTGAAGCCTCTCCTCCACCTCCTTCAACCGTTCCATTTCATGGTTTCCTCCTTCTCGATGCCCTTAAACTTTCTTTCCGAGGAATAGTAAAAAACAAAAAGCACGGATAAGGGGGGAGGTAAAAAGAGGAAGGAAGAAGCGGCACGTTTAATTGTAAGTACATTCAATTTACCTGGGCGATTCCTTTCTCTCGATTTCTTTAAATTTCTTCTCCGCTCTCCTACCCACTTTAGGGGTTGGAGTAGGGTGGCGTGGAATAACGGGAACAGAACGCTCGAGAAGTTTACGCGGAAGATGCTCGCGAACTTTGCCTTTAACTTCCACAACCCCCTTGCTCTCTCTCTCTCGTACCTCCATCCTCCTCCACCCCCATCTCTCTTTCCAACAGAGCCATTAATAAATGGGGCTCTTGGAATAAGTTGCGTAGAATAATCAATAATTCGATGAATTATAGAGCAGGATGAATGACTCGGCGAAAATACGAGGGTTCTGTCCGATGTAATTTCCCAGGCACAGTGTGCCACCGATGGATGGTTCGTTAAAAGCCATGGGAAGAATTGCGGTTCCTCGAGTGAAGAGTGTACGGGAGGGGGGCTTGGAAAATAATTTAAACGTAGATCGAGGAATACCTTGGTGTATTAATATCTCGAGACGAGAGTACAAAAGCAGCGGCATTCCAGGTAAGGATTATCCGTGTAGTTGCGAGAGTTTCACGGCTTTCGCAGCCTGGATTGCTCGAATTGTTAAGAGAGACGCCCTGTTCGACGGTTCGAGAAATAAGCGATCTTTAATCATTTTTTTTCACCGAACTAGCGAAGATATCGTTGTACTTCTTGTTCCCGATAGAAAGGGGTGTTCTTTGACTGTAATAAAGAATTTTTTTCGACGTGATTTTTGAGGCAGTTATCGCAAATTTTGTAGTTTAAGCTAGCACTGTCTGCAATGCTCGTGTTAATTATCTATGGCGAACAATTTTATTTCGAGGTAACTTTTAATATTGTTATTGCAAATTTCGTGGTTTAATAATTAGTCTCGGTAATGACTCGATTAATTGTTAATCGTTCGGTGAATAGGAAGCCTCGATTAACAATTTGTTTTGTGCAGTACGCGTGCGACTAGTTTATTATTCAATTCCTCCTGTTCATGCAGAGATCAGAGAGAGTCATTGAGTTAGGATACATAAATAGAAACGGTTATCTTAACGTACTCTTAAAACATATGAAATTAACGATAATATGTACACCATACGATTAACGCTAATTAAATGCACAGACGTATTATCCCTTATCTTAGCACTTAACATCGAAGCTGAACCACTTGGCTCGGAATAGCATCCCTAACGCGTGATGGATCACTCGGATCAAAAGTGAACTGCGTACCTTTAACTTTCAGTTTCGCTTTCTCCAGTTTGATAACGGTTTCTTCTCGTTCGCTTTAATATTAGACGTACATTAGCGTTCATAACTCTTCACTAATATACTTATACCGTTTCGTATTTAACACAATTGCAATTTGAAAAATTACAAAATGTAAAATTTTCCAAATAAATCGACGTTTAAATAAACTCTAATGTTTCGCGTTTTATCGGTAAAACAGTAATCGTAAATTTTTCTCGACAAATTACGCTTACAATTATCGAGTTGGTGAGAATTAAATGTTGATATATTACTCGAGTGTGCAAAGGGTTAAGAATTTTCTGAAAACGAGTTCATGAATTTCAATTATTTGCCTCTATTGTAAACAAAAATGATTTCGTCAAATTTTCGAATAAAATACAAAAAAAATAGAAAGGTAAATATTCACGAACAACCATACACGTTTCATTTTAATTACATTATGAATTATTATACCGAGAGACGAACGCGTCTCACATAATTGATTAAATCCCAAGCCAAGCGGTTAAGTCAAATGATAATAAAAGAACGAAACCTTTCACCACTTGATGGTCCTACGGATCGAAGAGTAATTTCTATAAAATTTTTCGCACGTATAGTTCGTTGAACTTTCATCGAGACGATCACGACTATTATAGCCTCGTCCTGTTTCTCCTTAAATATTAATCCCGTAATTCGATTTACGTTCGCCTTAAAGCATAGCGAGTAGACCATGGCTCTCCCGTATTCCTGGCAGGAACCACCACGGTTGCAACTGTCACCTGAACTGTAACGGGTTTTATGGTGTCCTGGTTCTGCCGGCGTTAGTTTTACGGCCTCCCCCATTGGCTGCAGCGGTTGCCTTAGTATAGTTGTGCTCGAACGTCGATACGGCACCTCGTGCAGTATGCCCGCTGTCTGTTCAATATTTCCGTCAGCCACTCGAACGTTTGATCACCTTGCCTGCACTTGGATGAAACTTGCGGTCGCCTTAAAATTCGAGTCTTTGTCGATGTAGGGCACATTCTCCACGTGTAATTCTTTGCATTATTTTTCGTAGCGGAGATTCGCGAGATTTGTCATTCGATATTCGGAGATTCGACCCTTTTGCTGTTTAATTAAATTTTATCGACACATCGTAGATCTGCAATTTTTCACGTTTTTATGTAATTCTTTGCAAGAGGAGATTCGTGAGATTTTTTATTCAATATTTGGAGATTTAACTCTTTGCTGTTTAATTCAATTTTATCGACGCGTGGCACGTTGCAGGTTTTTATAACAGTACCTCAGTACAGCCGATTAAACTACGAAGGCTTAAGGTAGTTTCGAATATGAATTTAACAAATTTGAAATTAATTCTAAACTTTCATTCGAGAAACAGCAAAAGTTGTACATATTCCAAAATTCTCCTTCTTCGAGTATTTTCTATCCCCGCACAACTTCTACCTTTCATACCTACAAAATTATTAAAGTACACTCAGTTAACACTTCACACTTCCCCGAACGACGCACCTCGTTCGAACATTCACACAACGATCTCCACTCGAAGCTGATTAAAATGAAACTCGGACGGGTCGTACGCTGATAAGCCAGGCCGCACGGTAAACAAAACTCGAGCGTCTAATTAAATCCAGCCAGAGTAACCAATAAAACCAATTACGAAGTCCCTAAATACACCCGTTGCCCCAGCAGGCGCACCAAGGCACCTTTTCGCTACTCGTGCTAGCTTTCCTAGCCTTGATGCTGCCGATCTCTCTACTGCTCGCAGAATTCGTCCTCTCCCTCTCACAGTTCATCACCATCGCGTCCTTCTCTCTACCAATGTCGAAACTGTTACTCCTGGAAGTCTTCACAGAGGTCAACGAAGGCCTCTTCTTAGTGTTGAAATAGAGCGACACCCTTCTCATCTGGTCCTTCTTAGGCGAATCTTGACCAGACGAGGACGATCTACTCTCGTTCTTATCCTCCTGACCCTCCGACGTAGTCGTCGTGGTGATACTGAGTCTTCTAGGCTTCTTTCGAATCAACTTTCCAGAAGGCTCCGCGATTTCCGACGACGTCAAGCTGATCTGCTTCTTCAACTTTCGTTGATTAGCCGGAGAAGGCAGAAGTTTCGGTTCCTTCACGCTTCCTTTCTCCTTCTTGCTCATCTTCCTGCGACGTTGACCACTTGGAGTGCCGAGTGCAGTCTCCTCCAATACGTGCTCCTCTTCCAAGTGAGAATCTCCGTCTATAGAGGTCTGCGTTTGTGCGGGTACTTTCAGTGCCAGGTTCTCGTAATACATCATCCCTCTCTGAGGATACAAACCTCCTCGCGGCAGGAACGGCATGTTCTGGTAGAGGTTCGGAGTTTGCACGTAAGGATTGCTGTTCAGTCTGCGCAGAGTGCTCAGGTCGTATTGACTCGGCGGACCTATCAGAGTGTGCGGGCTTGGTCTTTCGAAGGAAGTCACCTGGATTTGATGTTTGCTCGTCGGTGACGTCAGTTTTCCGTTGGTCAACTGGGTAGAGGGGATTAGAAGGCGATTCTGATCGGACTGAGTAGGTCGGTATCTGTCTCCGAAAGAAGCACCTCGGTTGAAACCGGAGACTTCAGGCTGAGAGGAGTAGTAGCAAAGGTTGTCGTCGTTCACTTGAACCGACAAGGGTCTGGTCACGTTGTTCTGGTCCATGTAGCTGCTCGGTGGATCGAAGGTTCGCAAGAAGGGGTTCTTGAAGAGTCGATAGTCGATGGACGGCAGCTTGGGGATCTCCGGGGTGTCGGGACTAACCGCTTGCTTCACTCGCGGCTTCCTCAGAGTCACCGTCAGGTGCGACTTGTACGGTTTCGTGTCTGATATATTGTCCAAAGTGTTGTCGCTTTTGGTCATCATTTGTTGCCTGCCATCGGCGTGACTGATCGAAGCAGTTTGAGACTCTCTGTGTAAATCTTGGCACGACATCGACTTCGTCAACTGATTGCCCGGCGTACATTTGTCTCCGGCGATTACCAGATTGTCGGTGCTCAGGTACGTTCTCTGCTGTTCAGTCGTGCCTATGTGAAAACTGTCCTTGCATGGAATAGCTCCGTTCACGTAGACATCGGCTGACCCCTTCTGCGTCATATACTGATTCCTGGAGATCACGGTGGATCCAGTTTTGCCGCTACTGGAACTATTCCCGGTTCCAAAATGACTGATCGTGGGCGACGGTTCTTCAGCCGGCTTCTTCAGCTTCGAAGGCAGCGGCGCGAAGAAATGTTTCGGTTTCTCTGTCCCTGATAACGCAGGACTCTCTTCTGTCTCCTTCTCCGCCACGTCGCTGGCACTCTGCTCTTTCGCACCTCTTAAATTCAACGAATCACCGTGTGCACTCCATCCGTTTTCAACTACTGCTTTCTCAGCATTCAGATGCACATTCCCAAAGCCTGTCGCGTTGAAAGGATTGGTCGATAGCTTCAGGCCGATGTTTCTCCTCGGGAGAAAGCTAGGGAAGGTGGACAATCCAGTGGTCATCGATTCAAGCGACTGTAGTTTCATCTGATCCTGATGAATCCTTCCGTAGTTCTGCATACCGGAAGAACCGTTAACGTCGGATACTCCAAACGTGGTTGGCTGTTTCTGCGGCATCAGGATGTCGGTCTGCCAGCCTGCAGGAGGCGCGTGTAATATTTGATCGCCGATCGAGTCTGGCGTGGCTACCATTCCTGACGCTTCGGAAGGTATCATCAGGTTCATCGTGCTGGGAAACTTGAAGGGACACTCGGTGTAATATGTGGGACTGGTCAGACTAGTCGGTGTCTGATACGTAGCAGGATAAAAGGGGATGTTCTCGTGGAGTTGTCTCGTCGATTTCAGAATTGTCAGTGGACTTTTGTTTTCTCTGCTCTGTTGGACATCCTCCGAAGGAACTTCTCTCTTGTCCTTGTCTCTTCTCGGCTCCTCCTCTTCGTCGACCACCGACAAATCGTCGAAGTCCACGTGCAGCCTGTGCAGGCTGCTGCTGGTCATCTTCTCGGTAGAAATCTTCTGGTTCTCCGCGTTTTCTAACTGCTCAGACTTACTGGGCTCCTTGGTGGACTCTTGGTCGCCCTGGTCGAGCTCCTCGTCCTCCTCGTACGAGTAGTCGGATCGCAGACCGTCATCCTCGTCGGAACGATCCTGAAATAAATCGGTCTATGAAGTGGAATTTTTCTTTGAGAGGAAATTTGCTCGTTTTCGTTGTTTTCTTGGACTACTTATCAAACCCATTTTATGTCATTGATGACTAATGAAAGTTTCAATGGCTAGGAGAGTGTTATTTTTAAGAATAGAAAGAAGCTCGAAGTGTACAAGATTGAGCACAGTAATTATTTATCTCCTAAAACAGTTACCCTCGTGTAAGTGTCAATCTAAGAATGCGTCTATCTAAGGAACTCAATTTAAAAGGCACACGACAGATTGACGTTCAATTTTAGACGTTGCTTCAGAAACTTTTGCGAACTAATTCCTCACGGATACCTTCACATCTCAATCCCAGATACGAAACAAAGTTCCTCTTATCGATCGAACACCGCGTAACCAATGCTTTCCCCACGAAACCCCGAAAATCGACCCATCGATCATTCAACCTTCACTCTTAACGTTCCATCAACCAACACCACTCGGTTACCTCGTATTCTTCGCTTTCTCCGCCGCTCTTCTGCCTCTTCAGGATCTCCTCGAGCTTGTCGTATTCGTCTCTGAGGCTCCATATCTCCCTACGCAGCTGCTCGTTCTCCCTGCGCAGCTTCTTGATGTCGTTCTGACCTGGAACAAAAACACACGTTCGATCTGAAAAGCCCCGACAGTGAAAGAAACCGAAAGAGAGAGATGGAAAAAAAAGGAGACCAGCTCCATGCTCTGACTCGTTTTTCTCGCGGAAATCACTTAATCACGATCTCGCCAGTCTGGCAACAGACGGTCCCCGTCCAGCGCACCTATCGAAACGATCGATCATTGGTCAGGCCTGGCAACAATCTCTGCCCTCTAACCCTTCGTCTTTCGGTGCGTCAAGGAACCGGTGATAAATCACGCGGACCCAGACCTTCCAATTACTTAACCCGGGGAGATACGAATAAAGTTTCAGGCTAATCTAGCCGACGAAAGGCCGCGAAACAAATGAAAAATCGCGATGAAGAGAACGCGGTGCTGTGCCTGCGCCTCTCTTCTTCCTTTTTTATTCTACCGTCTCAGTCTGTTCGAGCCTGACATGAGTTCACAGCGCGTTTTTTGATCGATCGGTGAACGGCGCAAAGCGGAGATTAGGAGACCGATTAGACGGACTTCCAGACTGTTTCCTTTGTGCATGCTGCCCCACTCGAGTGATTAATGCGGTGCTCCTTCATCGTGCAAGTGCAGAGGAAGCGCCCTGTTTAAAGGGAACACGCGACCCGTGCTTGTCTCGCGTTGTTCGGAGATACAGGTGGCCAGGAAGTTCGCTGGCACTTGTCTGGCGAAGGGATTGCGACGATAAGTGGGAAGTTACGGTGGTTCGAGCTGCGAAGTTGTTGCATTGTTCCGTTACGGATGATTTCAAGTTTGGGCAAACTTGCTGGTAGCGTTTTTGGCGGTCCTTTGTCTCGGCGTTGCTGTTCGAAATTGGGATGGTAAGTAGCTGGTGTTTCACCTTTTAAATGGTCGTTTCTCGTCTTTGCGTGAGAATAACTGGAGAAAATTTCTAAAATCAGGATGACATAAAGCAGTCGAATAATAAATTCGCTTTTGTAGGTCAAAAGAGTAGGAAATTTGCTCAAAAATTCAAGTATTACTTCTTTTACAAGTAAAAAGAGGTTACTTTTTCAAAATTTTCAAACAGGAGATTACTTGTTTCATGATTGACACAATTTTCACAATTGTCAAAAAAGAGAACTGTATCGTATTAATCCTTCTATCAGTGAAAATTTGCCAAATTGCCCACCGTGTACTATCGGCGCCTTTAGGCTCCTTTTGGCTCTTCGCACATGGTAATTAGTAATCCTATAATTCGATCTTTCGATTATTCCTATAATTCGACCTTTCGATATTTCGATGATTTCTATGATTCGATCTTTCCATATTTCGATGATTTCTATAATTCGACCTTTCGATATTTCGATCATTCCTCTAATTGGACGTTCAATTCGTCTTACTTTCAAGCCATCAGCGAAACTCTGAAAATTCTCCACCAAAACTGCACAGTAAATACAATTACCGCGTCAAGTAGCAGGCAAGAAGTAACGCAAAAAAAAATCTCCAACGTTGATTAACAATGAAAACAAGAAATCGACGATGTGATCGGGACTCCGAATCGTGAAGGGTCGAAACTAGCACTTCATTAAAACAACACCCCTCGAACGCCGCGTGAAATTCAGCGGTGAAATTTTCAAGCGCCCCGGTAAGGACACTCGAACTCCCGACACCGCCGGAAGTCTGAGGCGCGGGCGGGCCGGCGTTCTCCATTATCTGTAGACGCGTTCGAAAATGGCCGGTCCGGTTTCACGGCCGCTTATCGGCCACGCAAACACGCTTTATAAGCAGCCGCGTGATAACAGGGCCGCTTAAACCCCCGCGTGGCGTCCGTGCGAGGTGTAACAAGAAAAGCCATGTGGTAAATCAGGATTAAAGCGGGGCGGCTCGCCGGTCGGAAATTTAAATAAATTAAATCCTTCCGGAGGTTCATAAATTCGGATTTTCCGCCTGGACACCGACGGCTATTTGGATCCTATTAAACCTCGCGTGCGCGCGCGCGCCTCTATCTCTCTTTTTCTCTTCTCTATTTTCTCTCCTAGAAGAGACACCTCTCCATCCTCGAACGATATCACTCGTTTCGGTCTCACGATCGTAAGAGTACGTGAATACAGAGCAGGGTTGGCCAGCTACACTACCTTCGGAAGCCACACTTCAGAAAGGAATATTCGAAAGAGCCGTTTAAAAATCAGTTGAATTTTTCCAAGTTTACCCACAGATCTTCCTCGAATGAAATCAAATAATTACTTTTGCACATCGATCAGTTTTAGTTTACCATATTTCATACGTTCATTTTATATGCATAAGAGCCACGCTATGGCCACCCCTGATACAGAGCAAATTATGCGAATCTTCGTCCGATACATCGACCGATCCCGCTTGGCATTTCTTCATTTATACGCACGATGTACAGAGAGATTAACGCGGATCTGTGTGCACTCAAGACGGGAGCGTGAAAAGTGATTCAGAGGAAGGATAGATCCTTGTAACACCAGTGTCCGGCGTACGTCGGTATTTATAGGCGTACCGCGAGTTTTATACACGTGGTATTTTATGACGTTAAGTTGGCACGCCGGTTTTATATCTCGATGGAAATCTATAATCTATATTCTAGTTTTATGTATCAGCTGTTTTTACTGCTTCGTTCTAGTAGTCCCGCGGTTCGAATGGGGTCTGTTAATGGTGGGTTAGCTTGCCCGGGATACGACGAACCTGGTATTATCGTTTTTATGTGTAATTGTAAAAATTTACACGTCATATCAGAGAGGTTTCATTTATCTCACTTTACGGTTGTGAAATTGTTCTTGTCCTCGAGTTGTAATTTTCATATGCATTGGGAAAGTAAGGTATTGAATCAGAGAGGCTTAATTTTGTCTTACCTTGTCAAGTTTTGAATTCTCTTTGTCCGAAGTTTTATCAATGAAATTTTGATTCGTATAGGTTTTGAAACAATGCAAAGAGAAAATGAGGACATTTAATTTTCGAAATGTCAGAAATTTATTAGAGTTCGGATAATTATTTTGGTACGACGATTATGAGAAATGTGACATCACTGAGGATGTTACAGTGTTTTCAATCAGGAGATACTTTTTTTTGGGGGGGAGAGCTTTAAAATCTACTTTGGTCTTGCCAGTTTGGACGACTATCACAGCGCAACATCGCCCTTTCACGGAAGTTATTTATTTCAGAAGGATTTCCGTGTTGGCGAAATGTCAGGGCTCCGTGGGAGTGATATTTGCAAAGATGACACGAAAGAACGTGTTCACTACTCGTGACGCGAGTTTGTCATGCTCTGAGTGCTTCTTATTTCCTCGGACTTTTCTATCTTCTGAGACATTAAACCATTTTTCAGATGCGAGAGCGAGGAATCTTCCTACGTCTCCTTTCGTTTCGTGGAGCTTCTTCAGCGATAGCTTCTTATCCAGACATTTCATGCGAATATTCTTTCAGTTTTTCTCTGGAAAGCTGTATTTTCTTGGTAGTATACGTAGACTCGTTTTTGTGAAATTATATGAAAAAGTATTGGACACTTTTCGGTGAAAAGAAGATCATTTTATTGGTGTATTATTAAATTAGAAAAGATGAATAAAGTATGTAATTGATTTTTCAAGCAATTTTTAACACAAATACAATAACGAAATAGAAAAAGATTCACTTCAGTAGAAAAAATAGAGGAATTTCTGAAAGATAAGTTAATTCATTTTTGCTATTTAAAGAATTAAGAGACAGTCATTCTTCAACCCGTTGAGAACTATGAACTCACTTATGTATTCAGGAATTACTATCAACAGAACACAATACTTACACCTGAGAAAAATATTACACAATTTTCATATGAAATTACTTTAAAAATTTTCGGTTTGAATTTAAAAGTGGCGCGTCTTTTTACTGTGATCGGCGAGCATCCGCCGAGCGGCGTTGGGAGCGACGACCGCGCATGCGTCGAGCGGCGTTGGGAGCGACGACCGCGCATGCGTCGAGCGAAAAACAGTATGGCGTATTGTATTGTATTAAGACCATGTGCGTGGCGTTTGTTTTCGGTTTTGTGTACGTACAAGCGGCCGAGGCTCGCGTTTCTTATGTTCGGCTCGCAAGAAATATCACGAGTTCTAAGAAGTTAAGGCCTAGAATTATTACCAGAACAGTTGCGAGCGTACAGCGATCGGAAATCGGGCAGGACGACTCGTCGTCAGTCGGTGTTTACGAGGCTGTCGAACGAGTGCCTCGACGAACGCCGAACGTCGCTTATACTGCGCGATTGTAGTCTTGTAGGGAATACATCGAACAACGCGTTTTCGATTATACGCGGATTTCCAATCAATTTACGTACGTAGAATATTCGTTCGTGTGAATTAAGTGCCGCTGCATACAAGAAGCTAGTGCACCGAATCCAAGTACACAACGAACAGCTCAGCTTGGGATAAAAATTAAACGAGAAGCGTGTCTCATTTTTCGATCAATCTTTTTTTCCTGACATTTTTTACTCGTACGAGAGTTCTCAGAAGAATACGAAACTACTTCATCTTCAAAAAGCAACTGTTCCACAGTAGTATGATTGCGGCGTATCCATTCGAGAGCAAGTCTCGACACGTTTACTCTCAGACAGTTGAGCTATACTCTCGGACAGTCAAACTCAGGGGAGTGTCCACTCGCGAGAGATACTCTCGAGAGCAACTCGCGATAGTTTTACTTTCAAAATGGCACGTAGCTTCCTATTCACTTCGACATCATAGAGACGACGATTCTGGCTCGAGTTTCTTACGTTCGGCTCGAATTTCTTATGTTTTGCTCGAGTTTCTTATGTTTCACTAGCAAAAGACATCACGAGCCTCGCGCAATGTTTTGGTACGTGAGGTTGACTAGGCCCAGGTTACGTACTTGAGGGTCACTCACACACCTAGGATTTTTCCCAGAACTGCTTCGTGTAACAGGCAGCAGAAATCGGGAAGATCGTCACGTACGCAGTTAGTGCTTACTGGTCTACCGAACGAGTGCGTCGACGAACGACGTTTGTACCGTGCTATCATAGTCTTGTAGAAAAT